ATAAGCCACTAAGCCACTACAACTATAGCAATATCACTCCACATACAGTACATGTACATGTACACATGTACATGCATAATTACCATAAAAGTTGAATATTTTACTGTCTTTATTATTCAATTTTTAAATTTTTATGTTTCTAATTTTATGGTTTACATGTGAGCTACTATAAATTTAAAAAAATGAACTGGCTAGAAATTTTTTTTCTTTTATTGTAAAATTAAAGTCACCTTTAAAATAATCCACTTGTACAGTATAATACACATTAAAGTTGTCTACAGTGTGTAATACAATGTACATGCATACCCTACTCTCACTCCACAGTGCATTAATCATTAGTACAAGTAGGAGCCAAAGATCATATTCTGAACTAGGCTTCGCTATTGCCCCCTACCTCTCCAGTTCTTTCTGTTTTGCTTCGACTTGTTCTCTTAGCTGTCTAGCAAGATCAGCCCTTGCTCTAGAGGCTATGGTTTGGGTGCACAGTGAGGTGTTCTGGTTAAAGTATTTTTGATATTTCTCCTCGTTCCCATCTCGTGGGTATATCCTCCTATAGCCTCCACAGTGAGTCTCTTCGTATTTTTCAAACTGAGCTTCATATTTCAGTCTAATGTCTCTCTCTTGACTGGAGGAGGGAAGAGTGAGAGATAAAAAGTAGATTAATTTTTGAGGGTAAAATTAGTAAAAATTTGGGATAACTTAATCACTTTCCTTCAAAGATTACATGTACATTTATACTATATAATACATGTACAATGTACATGTACATGTATGCATGTACCTACTCAAATCTAACAGTACCCATTGCTTATGTTTATGTACTACATGTACATGTACATGTATATGCACTAACTAAAATTTCTCCCTCCCCCTCCTCCCTCTCCCTCTCCCTCTCCTCTCCTCTCTCTCCCTTTCCCTCCCTCTCCTCCTTCATTTCTCTATCCAGTACCTTGAGTCCTTAGATCTTGCCTTCTGTAACAGCCTATCCCTTGCTCTCTGTTTCTCCTCCTCCAGACATCTCTTCCTATCATTAGCAAAGAGGTCAATGAGATCCAGTGTATCATATATCAAAGCCTCCTTCACTTCCTTATCCAGTGGGGAGTCAGTATGGAAACTGGGGGACCTGTTCACTTCCATCAGCCAGGGCTTGAGTTTGCGGTCTAGGAGTATGTCAAAGCCGAGTATCTCAAAGCAGGCACTGCCTCTCGTGTGATTAGGGAGTGAGGACCGATAGTTGTGGCAGACGACGGAGGAGCTGATATTAGTGTTTTAATGATGATATCCTAAGGAGGAGGAGAGAAGGAAAATGAAGATTAAAAGTTAGGGAGACAAATAGGGAATCATATGTCATGTACATGTACAATAGACCACAGCAATGATCTATTAGTTAAAAGCTCCTACTGATGCATGTACACATGTACATGTACATGTGAGTGTACATAGCATTTAGAGCAACTTTAATTTGATCGGAAACAATTCAAAGTTGATACAGCATAAGGACATGTATATGTATAAGAAAAAAATTATTAAAATGAATGATTCTCTCCTAGCCATTTTTGATGAAATTTGGCCTGTGACCAAAGGCTATAGCCTTGGGTCGTTGGCTGGATTTTGGAGCAACTTTTAAAATTAGTAAAAAAACAATTTTCATCGGAAACAACTTAAACTTTCTACATAATAAGTACATATATATGTATCAGAAAATGTAATAAAAATGTAGAATGCTCTCTTTTTCAATCTTTGCAAAATTTGGCCCGAGACCATGTACTACAAAAGTTGTGGCAGCCATTTTGAAGTGGGACAAATCCTGCTTAGCAACGTGGTAGCGTTACTAAGTAGGATTCACCCCACTTCAATATGGCTGCCATGACTTTTATAGCAAGGCTGCAAAAGTCGTGGCAGCCATTTTGTATACAGGCCGGACTTTGACCCGATTTTTGAGGAACTTGACGAGAAGCTGCATGAGCACTATGCCATAATTTTGTGGCAAAACTCTCCCTTTCTCTCTCTCCTTCCTTCCTTACCTTTACAACTGATCTGGTTATCATTTACAAGTATCCC